ATGCAATTGCGAACCTCAGTCTCAGTGACTGGTTCCGAATCTACAGACCGGGATGCTACATCACAAGTTTGTGGTGACAACCCAGTAGGAACAGGAAGCCAGCTAAATTGACTCTTAAGGTGTTCTGCCAACTGCTCTAGCCTTCCGGACTTAGTCTAAATGAGTGTTCTGTCTGCCTTGCTGATAGCTCCACTGACGGACGGTCGCCTGGGACCAGTGGCGCGCATCAGCTTGAAGAGTTTGCAGTTGTTCCCTGAAACAGCAGAGGTTTCTATTACCTTAACTATTTCCACTAACCAACCCTCACAATCAGCTTCTTGCCTAGCAAATATACAACACGACTTTATTTCATTGAGGTATTTTTGTCAAACATGACTGGCAATATTTTCAATCAGAAACTGCAAAGTTGTCATGTGCTACGATTTAGCGAACGACGTGTTAATTCACTTAACCCATTAAGGGTTAACGAGTGGTAACTTACGTGAAAGAAAACGAACATTACGAACCAAGACCGTATAATTTCTAGGCAGAATACACATCTTACCTCGCAAAACGCCATAAACAGCACGGACAGGGTATAGTAATTTTTCATCTTCCAGTAAGCCATACGGGACACGTCTGGATTCTGATGACCAAGATGTCACAACTAAACCTAGCTACATAGCTGGGGGTTCGACCAACGATTAATCCGGAAGTGTCCGGGTTTTCCATTGTCGCTTCACAGTCAAAGGACATGCAGACAGACATTCGGCTGCAAACTTATGCAAACTTTCGTAATAACCAATTTATAATTTGCAACTGTAATTTTGGGAACTGTTTTACACATCATACAGCAAGCATAACGGTGAAATTCCTAGGTAGCTATACGATAAGCTTATACCGCCTCAGTACATGGTCTGAACGCACTATACTCGATTTTATTTACGTTCTGTCAACATATGTGCCTATAACCAACCAATACTATATGGCCGCCTCATTAAGCGTCCGACTTTTTTCTGTGCTACTTGCGTGGACTACTATATGCTATGCGACGGCCTCAACAGCATGTTGACATAAAATCATCTGCGCATCTCCAGTACGCTTGTTCTATCCAATCTTCAGCGAGCATTTTCGAAGTCTTTACTTGGCTGTTTGCCTTCTTTGACCAATAGGAAACCTTGCTGAACGTTCAAAATCAACCCACTCTAGTTAAGACAATTCACGTGTAGCCTCGTCTTGAAGTCTAAACTATTTCGTCGTCAGCTCACCGGCACAGTATTTCTAGATCAAAACAAGTTAGAAATTGCAATATGGCACAAAATAATACTTTTAATTTTTTATAAAATATTTAAGTTCATATTTCGGGCCTGATCTGTGGAGCGTCGGATATAGTTAAATACTGTCTGTGATCCCACTTTTGTTATGATAAAACACACATATTTTTCCGGTATAAGCATTTTGTTTACCTTTATTGGAGCTTCCAATCCGCACAAATGACTTTATCGAAGTGTTTTTGAACATAATACGTATTTCCGTCTCGCACGAATGGTAATTCTGTGCGGTTGAAGAGGTATGGGTGAGATTGTAATTTGCGATCGCGCTGCGTTTGTAATGTAATTCGGAATAAATATTAACATGTATGATAGTCAAAAGTATAGTGAAGTGCTTGTACTCTAATTTTCCATCTGAACGTTAAATCCGATCTGTTTTTCCGTCAGTATTTCAAATAGACTTTTGTCGACGAAAGGTCGGTGTTAAAAATATCTGATATTTCCTCACCCCCGGTAAGTATGAGACTGTGTAGCAACGAGAAATATGCCCCATTCTGTAAATAAAAGCTTTCGAAATGTAATTCAGCTGGATAAAACTCTTTAGAACTCAACTGAGGTGCTAAAACAGAAACGCTATATTGAAACGGGTCAGTCTAAGCTGCCTGCCGATTACTATAATCTATACTGTTCAACCTGTATACACAGAAGGAGTTGAAGACTGCTTATCTACCTAGTGTTGAAAGATAATGTGATCAAGATTTCGTATGAGGGAAGCCGAAGAATGAGAGCGAGATATGTGAAAAGCTTCGAATACAATAATCTTATTATTTCTCACATTTGCTCGTTCTCAACGCTCATACGATGTGCAACATTTAAACGTTATTCACAGAGCAGTTCAACCGGATGTGTCAGCTATTACTGCAAACACACTCCACACAAAGTCTGTTCGTCGGACAGTTCATTTGAACGGAACAGCTATTTCTGTCAACGCATACTCAAGACAAATCAACACGACACTGCAGTAATTAACGCCAACGCGTACATCATATGTGAACATTCTCAACAGAACAGTCTACCTGGGCGCTCTCATTGTAGTAAATTTACGGGCATTTGTAAGACGAATGGAATCCACTGGTTTGTGGAAGTAGATGATAATAGCATTACGTATTTTTGAACTGATCTGCGAGAAACACGCTACGCTTGCCGCGGGACAGGGAAACAGTTTCATGTGCTGCATATGAATGAAAATAATACAATTGGGAAGAGACCCGTGCGCGAGAAATCTGGAATTTGACTGGATTCGAGCCGACGACAGAAACAACATGCCGAAAACGCGGCAGCTTTTCTACCGGCTGAGCTACGAAGCCACGCTAGAAACTCGAAACTGCCAACTTACTTGTCAGTAATAAAATGTCAATGCTTATCGGTGGCGTTGGTGGATTCCAGCGTGAACTGGTCGAGAAATCCTGCTTGAGCAGTCAATTGGCTGGTAGATTTCACATGACAGTTGGTTGGGTAGGTAACTAGGTGCAAATGTGAAATTTCTGAACATCCAGTGTGGCCTCCTAGCCCAACTGGTAAAGCGTTTGCCAAGTTCGAGCAAGTTGTTTTTGTCGCTCGTTTGAATCCAGCTGAAGTTAAGGTTTTTTGCAATTGGGCTCCTTTTAAATTATCAAATCTGCCGAACTACTTATCAATAATAACATAACGCAGTTTGACGAACTGTAAAAATATTGTGGTAAAAGAAGTGTAACTAAAAAAAACATGGTGGCGGTTTGCGGTAAAAGTGGGCATAAACGTTATTACAAAATATCTGAGATGTCGCCAAAAAGTTGGTATGAAAAACCGTTATGTCGCATCACCTTAATTCTTGCAATGTTCTATCTGGAACGCTATTCAGATCATACCGGAGAAAGCGTCCAGGAAATTGCAACAGTTGAACATACGAAGATTTTGTTATCACTCAATGCAAATCGCGTTGCAAAATATGTGAACAAGTGTTTACGGATGAAGCAAGACAAGAAACTGCAGATAGGCAGACCAACGGGGCCGATAATTTGACAGTTTATTAGGCTAATCTAATACAAGTTCAAAAAGTCAGCCCCAAGTACACTTATTAAGTAGCTTGGTATAAGCAGTTCCAGTGCCCTTTACTTTTAAATGCTGCTGTCACTGATGAGAGTCGAATTCCGATTAATCAGGTTAACCGAAAGAAGTTGGCAATCCACTGAACTGAACAGAAACACCACGGAGACGTGTACTGTTAACTCGAATCAGCCTAAACAAGTTACGTGCATTTGCACAAAACCAACTGCTTAAACTAAATTAAAATGTGAAAATTTGTAAAGTACTCTACAGAACCGTCTCTAGAACGTTAGAAGAATGAAGAAGCGCGATACAATATAAAAGCGTTGAGCAATGCACTCATTGAAGACTGTTGGCCATCTGAGAGTTCGGTGTGCACAAATGCGTGGAAGATCAACAGGCGTTTTACAGTTGTACTGGAAAGACATAGGCTATTCGTTACGTATGACCTAGGTAGACTGTGAGCGTTGCAACAATCCGACAGAACAACGTCTGGTTTAGTTTTGACCACGGAGACGCGTACGATAATGAGGTTAAAGAGTCAGCGTGTTTATCTCGTGTATTATTATTGACTCTGGAAAATAAATTGTACAGGAAAGTCACGTCAAGCTGGCGAGGCACGAAACCAGTTGTTTTTGCTCCGGGACTAAAATTGCGCATTAAGAGGTTGACTGAAACAAAAGTAAGTATAAAATCAAAACCACCAAGAATGTGCAGTGGAATACGATTATCAAAAAATATTACTTATGATAGCCGCTACGCCCTTTGTGCGCCAGCGCTTACTATGGAAACTGTGCCGTGAAAAGTGTATAAAATGTGACAAAGAATGCGAGGGTAATCGCCTTCAATATCCTTCAGTAGATTGACATGTGGCTGGTGAGACGATAATTACTGACATTTGGCTTCGGACCACTTTTGTAGCGAAACGTAATAGATAAATTTTTTCGCTGAGGAAAGAAGCCGTTGAAGAAAAATTTGGCGCACAGAAAGGACGGCTATATACTCATCTCCTTACTTGACGGCCAATTGTGAGATAATCTCTGATCCGGAATGAATTGTTGACGCAACAGTAGTTAGTTGCGAGCATACATTCTCGAAATCAATCGGCACACTGCTCATTGTTTTGCTTGTTGCTGTTGGGGTATTAGCAGGTAATGTGAGTTCTTCCACTCTAAATAAAGCAGCAAGAGGAGTTCGAGATTCCGAATATTTTAGCAGGATCAACAATAATAATCCAATTTTTGAGAGTACTGCTTTTGAAATAAAGACCCACTATTGAATCCCTGCGCCCAATGGATTGTATTAATTTCACGTTTGTTTGCTCCCTATCGAGTGCACACTATTCACCCTTGATATGACGCATTTGCGTTTTATGTTCTTTGCCTTTAAACATGTTGCTCATACATACATTCAAAGAAAAATCTAGCTTCTTTCTAAGCATCAGTTTGGGATTTTTAAGTTTTTAGAAGACATCCACTTGCGAAAAATCTGGACTTCGACTGGATTCGAACCAGCGACAGAAACACCATGTTCAATTGCTGTAAGCGCTCTACCAGCTGAGCTACGAAGCCACGCCGGAAGCCCAGAAATTTCACATTTGGACCTGGTTGCCCACTCAACCAACTGTGTCATATGGAATCTACCAGATGATCCAGCCGATTGATTGCTCAAGCGGGATTTCTCGATCAGTTGACGCTGAAATCCACCGACGGCACCCATAAGCATTGACACTGAGTTACTGATGTGTAGTTTGGCAGATTTGATAATTTCAGACGGTTTACACATGGTTGGCCATGGGAGGCGTAGGACCTGTACGAATTTTTTTTGGAAGCACAGTTAGGGGTTGTAGGGTTTGATGACAATTGCCTCTGCCGTAGACAACACTCACCGTGGCAACTCGGGAATGAACGTAGGACACACGTGTAAACAAAACACACCCACACAAACAAACCCACCACCACCGTGGTAGACAGCCATCCACATTTTCCATGACTATTAACGTTGCGTATAATCATATTTCTGTTTTATACATAAGTCCAATTAATCACTTGTAATTGTATATGCTTGATGAGAACTACTGAAAACAGCTGCTTGCAACCCTGACTTTTATGAATACTCTGGGTATAATGACAAAACTGAAGTCCAGGTGTTATTACGCAGGTTAAAGTTACCACTTATTAGTTTGCATTCAAAAGGCATGTTTGATGCATGATTCGTTATCTCTAGTGGGCTCATCAGATCACCGCTAGCATTATAAGATAATTTTTAAATGCATCTTATAAGTAGCTCACGAGAACCAATACAGACCAGTAACTACAGCAAGATTCCAACCTTATAAACACAAGGCTTCTCAAGTGTGACTACGTAATGTCGTTCTTCGATATGCACAATGCATTCGTCGCCTCGTTCAAAAAAACGATTATCATTAAACTTAACTCAATTTATGACGGTTAGCTCTATCTGGTGTATCTGAGATGTACCATGTCTTGGTGACGGGAATAATATGAGGATTGGGTTTTTTAAACAAGAGATCTATACATACATATCTTGTTTTGTAAGTCATAAACTAGTGGAAATTTTCTGTCCGGATTAGCTTTGAACGACTGAAGAATTACACAACAGCTGCGCCAGTGGGTTGTAGAATGTCATGTAGCGTTGTTTGATTTAGAACACTTGCCAAGCCTCTGCTCACGTTCGAGTAGATGTCGCATGGATTGGACTCCAAGAAAAGAAGTACTGAAATAGTGTTAGTATTGTGGAGTGGCCGAGAAGAATTCTGGGAATGGGGCACAATGGTGACGGATAAAATATCGCAAAGATCAGTAAAACGGACCGATATGGTTGACAGTTTTGCTATTTATACATTCAGGGGTTGGCGTGCTTGATGGGAAACCCAGATGCGGAATTTGAGATCCAGTAGCATTTATCTTTTATATGGAGTGGCAGTTTACTAGGGGACTTTTGTGTACCGCCTTCAAACCGTGAAACCCATTATACTTGTAACTTGGTTTAAGAGCAGCGGCAGACAACTCGTGCATTTTCACTTACGAGACAACGGGTCTCGAAAAACGACACTGTCCGAATACCTGCTACGGTTGCAAAGCACACGTAGCGTTGTACAGATCATAGCCACCATTGGGGAGCAGCCCACACGTTCAGTCACCTACGGCGAGGTCCACTCTTAATTACGCACATGTTGTCACCCACTATGCACACAATTTACCATACTAGAAATTCAACGGTAGATATACCTGAGATAGTGCGATAGTTGGGAATACGTATTAGTAATCGGAAGTGTTTTTATCTCAAACCCAGAGCCAGTTTCTACGCCGTAGTAAAAACGCAACACCTCAGCCAACGAAATCGTAATTTAGTTTGGATCTGTACGATGTGATCATTCATGCAGTGAAACAACAATAGCATATAGTGTTCTGTTATGATTTACAATCATCACCTCCGCTGCAATTCAAATGAGCGTCCAGGCAGTAGTGATGTCGTTGTTTCTTCTTCACAAGTTCAAGAATTCTTGTCTTCGCATGCTCAATTGAAGGTACTTCCCTCGTAACTGAATTCGAATCTGAAACAGACTCAGATCCGGGATTTTCAAACTCGGAAGATTCAACAGACAACGTAAGATGAACCTTTAAAATCTTCATGCATCTGAAACCGACAATAGACAGGTCAGAATTATTAACAAAAAATGAACAGGTGTAAGTAATGGACTGCACATCTGTAAGTGAAAGTTCACATTCGCCAAGAATAGATAAACCAGGTACAGTAATACTCCTAGCAGACATATTAACAGGTTCCAAAATAACAGAAGGTTCCAGCCGCTTTATGCAAGCGACAGAAAGAAAAGATTCAACACTCCCAGTGTCAGCAGTGAAAAAATGTTTGGGACCACCGTTAACAGTAGAAAATTGTACTATGTGATGCGTAGAACCACGAGAATTAGTAGGTCACAGTAAAAACAATAGACTGCAAGTCAGATGCAACAAGTTGTTCATATAAAGAGGTCTGGCCAAAACACGTCTTCGAACAACGACAGACAGCTTGAATGTGACCAATCTCGTCACATTCATAGCATTTGAAGGTGAGAAATGGACACGTAAATCGAGAATGTTTGACCACATGACTTACAGTTACCAAAATGTTGAACAGAATTTGAAGTAAAATAATGTGGCTCGACTGCCGTACTTCTCTGACAGTTTGCCCTTCCGAACTGCCGCTGCTGTTGGTTCGCATGTTTCTCAGTATTGTTGGCGTTATGTTCTTCACCTATCGCGCCATGTACATCCTGAAATTGTTCACAGACAGCTCTGGCCTACTGGAAAGAAGTCTTTTGCAGTAGTAACAACTTTTGTTGAAGACTTGGGAAATTATTTCCCACAACCAGTCGATCTCTTAGCTGATTGTGAAGCTGATCACTGAAATTACACTTTGGTGCTTGAGTTTAAAGAATCGACGCATTGAGTTCTTGAGTTTTTTCTCTGATTAAGGTATGAAAGTTCGCTTTTCCCGCAGCTTCGAAGTTGATTGGCTGAACATGCCTCAGTAGCAGATGTTTCAAAGAATCGTGCGGAAGTGAAAGAGGCGAATCGGGAAGCGCCAGGATTTTAATTAACGCATATGCAACTTTACCGATGACCATGTGTAAATGCGGCGTCTTCTTCTCCTCTGACATATCATTAATAGTAATACACCAAATTTCAAAGCGTTCCAGGTAATCTTCCATTTCCCGTGAACTTGAGTGGACGTTCAAACATTCCATACTGCAAAAATTCATCATATGAAATATACTGACCACGACGCCAATTGCGGTAGTTGGGAATACGTATTAGTAATCGGAAATGTACTTAGCTTAAACCCAGAGCTAGTTTCTACGCAGGAGTAATAACGAGAATCGGTATCCTCTTACATAAAAATTTCTGAAAATTCAATGACATGAAACTTTCATCAACCCTAGCAGCACGGCCGACTCATGACCGTCTCACGCGTGACTCATGAGTGTAACAGAATACTTTTGAGTCACTCATGAGTCGGTCAGGAAAACATTTTCGTAACCCTTATTTCGTTACGAATGGTTGTCGTCTAACATTCTTAAGGCTCTGAATGACAATCAAGTCTTATTTCCAAGCTAATTCCCAACGAAATCACGCTTTCGAGCAGCGGAATAGATTTATCGGTAGAGGTTTAAAACAAACGGTTTTGGACAGTAAACATGTGGTGAGAGAACACGAACTGTACACAAATTCTAATGATTCAAGTGATTTTCGGCAATTGTTATTTTTGCCCCCTCTTTGGTCACTTTGTTTTTCATTTTCTGTATCTATAGTTGGATATTTTCACATTTGCCTGACATTCCGATCAAGACTGAAAACGAAATATCTCAGTTAATATTGGATATACGACAATATGCCACATCGGTAATGTCAACGAGAATATTATGCTGATCAAATTAAACTGAAGTTTAAGTAAAACGGTACAAAAAATGTTGTTTAAAAATATTTAACACATTTAACTTTGTCTCGCAGTGACACATGCCCTGAATGCACAGACGTTCGCATGCTTAGCAGCTCATGTGCGGGCAGACGCGTAGAAAAATACAGAAAAACGCCCATAAACACATTACGTATATGTATATACTCACGAATAGGGCCACATTCATGCGCATATACATTTATTTACACATCATCTGACCATATATAACGTCAGATTCGTACCCATCAAACAAAACGGAGTAGGCCCCGAGTCGGACCGTGTCTGGCTACCAGTCGGACCGGATCTGGCCTGCAGTAAAGACCGGAGTCGGTCCGACTCCGGTTTGGCCAGACTCGCAATCGGCCAGCGAAAAACTTTACCATCGCTCTGCTTACTGAATTTTACGATGCCTATTAGCACGACCGATCCCTTGGTGTTCCCTTAGCGCTCAATATACCCAGCCACGATGAGAGCTACCGTCTGCTTTCAACAACCGAGTAACGAAATTCGTAAATCTTGTAATTATTGAAAAAACCATTGCCATCAAACACTATTGTTTAATAATAAAAAAAAGACTGCAGGCAGTTAACAGAAGGTCTCATATGGAACATATGTATGAAAATGAACATTCTGTTCTTCGTGAATGTCTGCAAAAGCATAATATTCATTCCATGCCTTGTTACCTGCATAAAAACAGGTTTCCAGCACGCGTTAGAAGTAGAATATCTCAGCAAATAAGCAGGATAAAACGATGACATATCCGGACAATCTGATAGGGAACTTACAGTTTTTTCAGAAAACAGAGGTTTTATTGATGAATACATCGGGGCGATGTAGGAAATTCCACTGAATCTTTTTCCTCTTCACTCGCCCAGGTTCACCGTGTGCTGCTCGGACCCCGGTACGACAGTTTCTTTCATCATTCTGCGAGCAGTGCGACCTTCATTTCTGTCTTTCGCACCCTGCAGCCACCGTTTGATTAAATGGTTATGTTCCCTCCTAACACCGAGAGATAATTTTGCTCAGCACGTACAACAGCTACAGAACTGGTAGATAATGCGGATGATACTTACAAACAATGGCTTCGCAC